CGGCCGTATGGAAATGCGCGCGGCGCGGCGGGTCACATGTTTGATAACATTACGGTATTAAATAATTCACAATTTTTCTCGAAACTAAAAAAAATATTAAAAATCAGAAAATTAATGAAAATAAAATTTTGAAATGTCAATATTTTCAGAAAAATAAACTCTACAAAATGGCTCTTTAAGTTTTTTGGAAATAATTAATAAAAAAATATATTTTTTAACTTTTTTACCAAAACATTAAAATCAATTAAAATATAAAATAATTGCAATGGGTACCTAAATCTTCMCGGGACACACTGTATACAAGAAGAAAATAAGAAGAAAACGCACTTAATGAGATCGAAGAGAGTTTCTTTAGAAAGTCATAGTTTTGGACATCRAGTTTTAGAATATCACTACAACTAATCATCTAATAGTTTAATTAGGTTATTATTATAATGTATATTTATCATTTTATATAGCAAAATTCTCAAAAAAATAACAAAAACTAAAAAAACTTAAAAGAAAAATAACACTAAAAATTGCAAACAATAAAGATTTTTTTATCAAAAATGTTGTTTTATGGTTTTTAAATTACAATTCTTGTATTTCAAAACACGTATTTTCTAAATTTTATTTTTTTAAAGCTGAACTTTCTAAAACATGTACCCAGACCGTGTTTATTACAGCCATATTTAAGCGTTTCTGGTATRTACTTACCACACGATTGTGTATCCATTGCTCATGGTTATAAATCCAAGATCCTCCCAGATCTGCGGGTAATTGATCTTGCGACACGTACTTGTGGATTCTAGACAACGGCACAAAAATTGGCTACGGAAAAAGTCACGTGCTTAGTAATTAATAAAAGTCTACGATACAAACTATATATACATAACTATACTATAATTAGGTCTCTACAATAATATTATCTTACGTACCTCTCCTTCAGTCCTAGACTTTGTACAGTTGTCTACACGTTGTTTGTCCCAAAACACATCTAACCTCACAATCAACATCGCTCCGATATTCACATCCAAGATTTCAAACACTTTATGCATGACGCTCTTGGTTGTTTTCCATGTACTTCTCTGAGCATCGAGAACGACGCATAAACCTGTCTGTCTCGTTTCTGGACTGTAATTATAAATTATACATATTATGTAAAAAACAATAATAGTTTGGTTGTGAGTATCACTAGTGTCTAGTATCAATGAACTGGATTTCTACTTGAAAATCTAAATCTGGGTATAATAATATAGTATGTGAATACGTCAACATTTCGATTTTAGAAAAATTTTAAAATTTTTTTTCGTTAGTTTTTTTTTAGATAGTGCAATTTAATTTATATTTTTAAATTATACATAATATTTTATCGTAATGTTTTTGTAATAATTAATTGATTTTTTACTATTATAATATAAATTTAAAATGTTAGCTTTGTTTTCAACTTGGACACGTATAGTTTACTATAATACTAATACTTCAGCGTACCTATAATGCTMTAAATGCGTTATAACTTATATGAGCGCTAAGTCTTATTATACTAAAAAAAATAGACTATACGTCAGAATAACAAAAATTAGCAAATTTGTTTTTAGGTTCTTATATGTATTATGATCTATACTTCTTACGTGATATATTGATCTAAAGGAATAAAAATTAAAATCTCTATTTGAGAAAATTAATTATTATATATTTAAATAAAAACTTTGGTTCKTTAAAACGGTAGTATTTTAGATTTAGATTTTTTTTTAAAAGGTGCGTCGTTGATTTGAAAATTATAATTGCATCATAAAAGTATTATTCCATAGATAATAACTAAAATCAAAACATTATCAAAGCTATAATAAAAAACTATTATAATAATATCCATACATTTAAAATGTAAAAATGTAATACAATAAGAACTATGAARTATTTGTTGTTTTCTCGCCAGGTGGGCTACTGTAATTTTATTTTAGGTCAATACTCTTTAAATGACCTATAGATTTATTTATTTTTTCCATTCAGCAAGACAGGTTTTGAGCACATTTTAATCATTAAATTATTCAGAGTATCGTAGTATTAAAGATTGGAGCTGGAATATCGAGTGAAAATATTTATGATGCAGATACATATTATA